ATGGTCTGATTCTTCTCAACACCTTGCCGGAATCATGGGAGAGTTTTAGATCAACAACAATCAACTCATCTCCTGGTGGTCAAGTCACACTGGAAATTGCCAAAAACAGGATCTTTGAAGAGGAAAAAAGGATGCGAGCACTTGGAGTCTTCTCGCAACCAGATACTCAAGCTCTTGTCATGGAGAATAGAGGCAGGAGTAAAATCAGATAACCCAGAGGACGAGGAGGCAGATCCAGATCAAAGTCCAAAAGTGGAGTGAAATGTTATCATTGTGGCCAGCTAGGCCACATGAAAAGGAATTGCTATTTGTTGAAAGGAAAAGACAAGAAAAAGGTTAAAGATAGCAATACAACTGCTGTAGCATCTACCAGTGGCGGTGACGTAACTCTACTATGTGATCGTGGGGAGTGCTGCCATGTAGAAAACTTGGATGCTAAGTGGATAATTGATTATGGTGCCTCTTATCATTGTGTTCCCAAAAGGGAATATTTTTCAACATACAAAGCAAGAGACTTTGGCACCATAACAATGGGAAACCAAAGTGTTTCTCATATTATGGGAGTTGGTGATATCTGTGTCCAGACAAATGTTGGGTGCACATTGACACTAAAAAATGTGCGACATGTTCCTGATATGCGTATGAACCTGTTGTCTGCAAAAGCACTGGATGAAGAAGGATACGCACACTACTTCAGGAATGGCAACTGGAAACTCACCAAAGGATCAATGGTGGTGGCAAAAGGGAGAGCATGTTGCTCATTATACAAGACACACATGAAAATGTGTGGAGGTCAACTGAACACAGTTGAAGAAGAGGCTTCTCCAAATTTATGGCATAATAGATTAGCTCATATAAGTGAGAAATGATTGCAACTTTTGGCTAAGCAGTCCCTTATTCCCATGGCCAAAGGTGAATATGTGAATCCTTGTGATGTTTGCCTATTTGGAAAGCAACACCGAGTTTCTTTTCAGAAGAATTTGACTCGGAAAGAGAACAAGCTAGACTTGGTCTACTCTGACGTTTGTGGTCCCCTGGAGGTAGAGTCGTTTGATGGCAATAAATATTTTGTTACCTTTATTGATGATGCAACTCGGAAGACTTGGGTATACTTGTTGCAAAATAAAAGCCAAGTTTTCAAGTATTTCCAGCATTACCATGCTATGGTGGAAAGGGAGACAGGGTTGAAGTTGAAATGTCTTCGTACAGATAATGGAGGGGAGTACACCTCCAAAGAATTCAGAGACTACTGTTCCAAGCATGGCATAAGGCATGAGAAGATAGTTCCTGGCACACCACAACACAACGGTGTTGTAGAACGGATGAACCGTACCATTGTGGAGAAAGTTCGATGCATGCTAAGAATGGCAACTTTACCTAAGCTATTCTGGGGTGAGACAGTCAACACAGCAATGTATCTGATCAACTGGTCGCCTTCAGTTCCTTTGAACTTTGAAATCCCGGAGAAAGCTTGGACGGGAAAGGACGTTGGATACTCTCACTTGAAAGTGTTCGGATGCAAAGCATTTATGCACGTGCCAAAGGAACAAAGATCAAAGCTAGATGATAAAACTATTCCATGCATTTTTGTTGGATATGGTGATGAGGAGTTTGGCTACAGACTATGGGACCTAGAAAAGAAGAAAACTGTCAGAAGTAGAGATGTCGTGTTTCATGAACACGAGAAAATTAATGATTTGAAGGAGGACAAAGCTACAGGAAGCTCTGGAGAGGGTGTAGAAGATTTAACACCGGCAAAAACTCCTTCAAGAAAAATTACAAATGAAGAAGAGGTGCAAGCACCAGAAGATGAGACAGAGGAGCCAACAATTGAAAAAGATGAAGCAAGTGTAGATGGGGGAAATGATGAGCAGGGGGAGCAACCCCTGCCACAGGAGGAAGAACCTCAGTTGAGAAGGTCCACCAGAGAGCACAAACCATCTGCAAGATACTCCAGTTCTGATTATATCTTGATCACTGAAGAGGGGGAGCCGGAGACCTTCCAAGAGGTGCAGTCTCACAAAGATAAAAACTGCTGGATAAAGGCTATGCAGGAAGAAATGAACTCCCTACATAAAAACAATACTTATGAGCTTGTGGAACTTCCCAAAGGAAGAAAAACCCTGAAGAACAAATGGGTGTTCAAGCTCAAGAAAGATGGTGACAAGATAGTTAGATATAAGGCTCGGCTGGTGGTAAAAGGCTTCAGTCAGAAAAAGGGGATTGATTTTGATGAAATATTTTCCCCAGTGATGAAGATGAGCTCAATTCGAGTTGTGCTCGGTCTAGCAGCAAGCATGAATCTTGAGCTTGAGCAGTTAGATGTAAAAACTGCATTTCTTCATGGTGACTTGCATGAGGAAATTTGTATGGATCAGCCAGAAGGTTTTGAAGAACAAGGGAAGGAGCATATGGTTTGCAAATTGAAGAAGAGCTTGTATGGACTAAAGCAAGCTCCAAGACAATGGTATAAGAAGTTTGACTCTTTTATGATGAATCATGGTTACCAAAGAACAAATGCAGATCCATGTGTCTACATCAGATTATTCCCTGATGGCAACTTCATTATCCTTTTGTTATATGTTGATGATATGCTAATTTTGGGACAAGATGTTGAGAAAATTTGCAGGTTAAAAGAGGAGTTATCAAAGTCCTTTGACATGAAAGACTTGGGACCAGCAAAGCAAATTCTGGGTATGGCTATTACCCTTGATAGAAAGGCTGGGAAGTTGTCGTTATCACAGGAGAAGTATGTTGAACGGATGCTTGAAAGGTTCAACATGAAACATGCTAAGCCAGTTAGCACTCCTCTTGCAAATCACTTCAAGCTGAGTAAACAATCTTGTCCAACTACCAAAGAAGAAAAGGAGAAAATGTCATCCATTCCTTATTCTTCTACAATCGGTTCACTGATGTATGCAATGGTATGTACACAGCCAGATATTGCCCATACTGTTGGTGTTGTGAGTAGATTCTTGTCTGATCCAGGCAAGATTCACTGGGAAGCTGTTAAGTGGATCTTCAGATATCTGAGAGGAACTACCAAGTTGTGTTTGACATTTGGGCAAACTGAACCAATTCTAAAGGGATACACAGATGCAGACATGGCAGGTGACCTTGATAATAGAAAATCTATTTCAAGTTATTTATTCACTTTTGCAGGGGGAGCTGTATCATGGCAATCAAAATTGCAAAAGTGTGTTGCCTTGTCAACAACCGAAGCTGAATACATTGCAACTACAAAAGCTGGTAAAGAGATACTTTGGATGAAGAGATTCCTACAAGAATTGGGATTGAAGCAGAAAGAGTCTGTAGTATTTTGTGACAGCCACAGTGCTATAGATTTGAGCAAGAATACTATGTACCATGCCCGAACAAAACATATAGATCTGAGATATCACTGGTTGCGCTTGGTGACAGAGAACAAGCAGTTTCAACTCAAAAAGATTCACACAAACAACAATGCTGCTGATATGATGACAAAAGTTCTTCCCAAGGAAAAGTTTGAATATTGCACGACGTTGGCCGGGATGGACTCCAAGTAAGGAGTCAAGGTTTAAGTCTCCTCCCATGGGGCTGGAGGGGGAGATTGTTGGCGGAAATTTCCAGCCCATGTGAACACATGGACTTCCATGTGGTAAAA